TGTTATGTGTTTAAAATACTTATTATTTTTTGTAGTGAAGGCAAGGCCTTAGTGGGCAGGACTAGGTAAGCATTTACAGGTGATCTCTGGATTGAAGATAATGGTTCAGATTTTTCCCTGCCTGAGAGCTCTGTAGGTGGATTTCTTAGCTGTTATCTACCCATGACACTGAACATGTGTTTCAGGGGTGTAGGTCATAGCTGTGTTGGTCTAAGGACATAAGTAGACAAGGTTATTTGGGTAAATTCAATATCTTTTATTAGACCAACTCAAATAGTTGGAAAATATTTTTAGCAAGCTTTCTTCAGACTGATGAGGGGTGTTTGTGCCCAAAAGCTTGCTAAGAAGAATTTTTCCAACTGAACAGATGTTGCATTTGTAGAAAAAGCTGTCTCCTTCCACAACTAGTTGGAATTGATTGATCAGCTGAAAACATTTCCTGCCCCAAATTAGATTTTTTTTACCACCCCATGGCAGAGGGTATATGGGAAAGAAAAGCCAACCCAGACCACTGCTTGACTATTAGTTTTACATGTTTGGGCTCAAACATAAAGCCAAACTACACATTGGTTATTTTGGAAGCTGTATTGGCCCATCAAGAATGAGATTAACATAAAACAGTGCACCTGCCTCTTAATTTGGCACTGGAAGCTTTTGAGATGCTCCTTTTCAGTTCCCCCATGTCATCTGATGTTAAGTTGACTTGAAACTGAAAGGTCTTGGAGCCATTAAGTACCTAGGAGGTCAGCTATCTTAAACAGAAGGTTATTTTTGTTGTGATAGATTCAGTTTACAGAATGAGTGTCTTTCAGCTTTTAGTGACCTGATCACCTTCCACTGTGCTTTGCAATGATAAAATTGTGCTGTGAATTCTTGGAGTTTCCTTCTCAAGGTGATTTTAAAAATCCACTGTAATGAGCCCATTGTTCTGCCAAGGTTCTTCCCAAGCCCCTCCTGTCCTAGTAAGAATATTACCATACACTAAATGTGGGGTTCTGCTTGGGGTCATATGACACCTGTTACCTGGGCAGTGCTGTCACTAAGAGGATCATATCTAAATAGCTGTCTGAATGCATATCCTCTTGCTGTGACCTAGCTGTCCTGAAGCTGGAAGGTCATGTCAAGACTCATTTGGTCTGAAACAGGATGGCCTCTGCTGCCTGCCTTCCAGACATTTACAAAGCAAATTCTTGGTCCTTGTTCAATATGTTTCCAAAGCTCCTTGCTTTGGATTTAACAATTAGAAGAAGAATCCCTCCCCATCCTCTCAGTTCTGCAGAACCATTTGTGACATAGGAAAGATAGAACATTAGATGTTCTTCATTTAAGTTAGCCAAGGTTTTTTAACTTCTAATTTATTTTAATGCTTCCTGAAGTCTATTGAAGTGAAATATTGGTGCATATACACTATTGATATTATCCTCATTCTTGCTGCCTGCTGTATAACTTATGATTGTACTCTCATGCATAACATCTCCATCTACATGCACTTTAGAAAGGAGAGCCCTGGACTGGTGATATCTTCAGAGAATGGAAATTCCCTGGTTTGTAACTTCTATATATTTGAAGCTATCATCTTCCAAGATTCTCATCACTTCCAGTCAGTTTGAAGAGGAACTCATCTAAGGTTACATTTAGTTCACAGTTTGATGAAGTTGCCTTATTGAGACATTGAAAAATAATTAATCTTGATTTGATTGGCTAACTGTTCTTCGGGGGACCTTTGCTTGCATCTTGCCTGAAATTGACCAGAAAGTCCCCAAGGGCACATAGCCACAAAAATGTAGACTGTGGATACACTTTTTCATATCTCTTTTTTAACTGCCAGATATTATTCAGACCATCTCAACAGGAGTGAGAAAAGGAGTGGATGCTTATTTGGATAATCAGACATCCAGAGTTAATAAAGTATCAAAAAAATGGTATACAGAGGGTAGGTACATGTAGCTTTGGAAGGAATTTTCAGGCTTACACGTAAGGGGACAAACGTGAGTTGTTGGAAATAAATTGCCTTTTTGGGTGGGGAGGAGGTTGTGGGGAGGGAGTGCGGTAAAAGGTAGTTGCCTTGCTCTAGAAATCTTCGTATTGGTCACTGTCAAGCCTGGATTGATGAACTGTTGCTCTGCTTTGGTATGAAAGTTCTGTTCTTCAGGAACCACAGGCGCAGACAGAAGTGCAGCTCCTTGCTGCAACTCAGAACACTTTGCAGGAAGTGATTTGAGTTGCAGAGATCCCTTGGACCAAACAGAAGCTCGCTGTTGGTTCCAGTGGGGAGGGGAATCTAGCTGCTGGCTGTCCGCCTGCAGCTGGTTTCCCCTAGCAGTGGCCCTTCCTCTCTGCCAGCCCATGCTGTTTATGGAATAGGATGGGGAAAGGGAGCAGAGGGAGGTCATTCTAGGGATTTCTCAGTTGGCACTGAAGGGTGGGGTGGGCAAATTGGAGCCCCTCCATCTCAGGGGAGCTCCAGTACATCTGTACCACCATCCAGTGGAGCCTGAAAAAACCCAAAACCAAACTCCCTCTGCTTCCTTCCCAGCTCTAATTTTGAAAACAGCTCTGAGGCTGGAAGGCAGGCAGTTACAGAAGACATGTTTTGAAATGTCTTCATCGATTTTTAGCCTGATTGACCTTTATGAAGCAGTCTGCAGCTGTGCCCTTGTGTTTGGTCACAGCTATAGACTGCTTTCTGTGGCCAGATTGGGTAAAAATGGTCACTTTTGTCTGTGCCCCAAATGCTTCAAGAGCTCCAAATGCAATATACCTTGAGACAGCTGTAAGATTGGTGCCATTGAGTAGTGCTGCCTGTACTCTTTCTTGTGCATGCTTGTTGGCATGCACCCATTTTGTGAAGGGTGTAGTGCATGTAGAGGAGACTTGCTAGGTGTCTCTACACAGTGTTCCCTAATGTGGTCCTGAGGTTGTACAGATATGCTCGCTCTTGTTCTCTCTCCCTCTCTCTCTCTCTCTCTGACACTTGGGAGCTGGGATGCAAGAGTTAAATCCTGCAAGATGTTTCAGAGCAGCAGAATTAAATTGCTCTCCTTTTTCTCACCTTTTTCTTTTTCATTGAGGGGTTCAGTTTGTAGAGGTGAAGTTAAGACTGGAGTTGTATTTGTTTTTTGAGAAAAGGAAAGAGGTGGTATTTACCTCTGTCCCTCTCCCAGTCATCCTTGAATATATGTGAAGTTATAAACTGCCCATATCCCTGATGGTGACTGCAGGCTCTCTGCTTTCTTTTAGCTTGCTTACTTTCCTGGAGGCAGCTGAGGACTTACCAGTGCCTGCTCTTCTGGAGGGATGGGCAGGGAGATGGTGGCTCTACACGTGTTCTAACCTAGGCTGTTCAATGGAGCAACCACTGCTTTTTCTCCTCCCTCCCCCCATCCTCTTTCCAGTTCTGTTCTTGAGAAGAAATTCATTTATAGATCTTCAGTAAGCAAAGAACTCTCTCACCCAATGAAGGATATTAGTCCTGATACCTTATATCAGTGGGAAACCACCTTTTTTAGCAGATGTAGCACAAATTAGCTGGGCATCCTCCCTGACTGCTACTCTGATTTCCTTCCTCTGCCTCATCTGCTGCTCTGCTTCCTGCCATGTACTCCAGGCCCAATTTGCTGCTCTGCTTTTTGCCTCCTGAGCTGTCTGTTACTGTGTTGCTTGTCTCCTTCCTGAACTGCTCAGCATGCCACATGCATAAGCTGACCATTACATGGGAGGCAGTGTGCGCCACAAATTGGCCACCCCTGCTGTATATGGTACATGCTCTATATTACCACATTCTTCCATTGGGTAGTGAAGGTTAGAATTGTAAACCAAATACAAATTCCTAAATTTATCAACTTATTTGTTTATTAAAATATATAAATAAAATATCCTGGGCTGCTGCTTTTTTCAGCTGTAAAGTGTGGCTGGAAGGGAGACTTGAAAGGGAGTCCTTTCATAACAATTTTTCACTATTCATAGGCCAGCCTTTCAGATAAATCAGAATTGGAGGGCAGTTCTCTTGTTCAGAATGGATGCTGGGTCTGTTTAACAAGGAAGTGCAAGGGAAGTGTACATTGGGGAGCTGTTGAAGAAGTTCACTGCAGGCTGAAAGAGTTTTAATGTTCTACTTCAACAGCATAAGATTGATCTTTTCTCTTACCCAGCGGCAAGGCTTATTAGAGTGGTCCACAAATTTTTTTACCTGACAGAGAGATCCAGAAATTGCTTTTCTAATCTGACGTCGAAGCTGGCAATAAAACCGTGGGATAATTCCAAGAGAGTAAAATTTGTATATGACTACTTAAAACAAAATCTACATAGTGAGTACTTAATTGACCTGCAATTTCAGATATGTGCTACTTGGATGTCACTGGAATTGTTAATGAGCATTGGAACTTGAACACAGAAAGGCTGGGGATTTAAATATGAATTAATATAAAATTTTAATACCATACAACTTTGAGGGGCAAAAAGGAGTTAAGATGCACAATAAAAACAGCACAACCCATTAAGTTTTGCATTCCTGCAAACAATATGAAAAGATTATTCATTTAGAAAAATGGAAAGAATTTTTGTCCCTCAGGTCGTTTTATCTATGGTGATACAATAAGTTGTTTTCCTGGAGAAAACCTCAAGCATTACTTGTTTTGAGACTCTTATTATGTCACTTATTGCTAAGAAATATCCTTTTATCTAAGCCACAGATACCCTTTTGTTCTTGAAGTACCTGGTAATACTTCTGTAGCAAAGACACTGGATTTTCATTGCTGAGAACAGGCAAGGAGCATTGGCAAGAATAGGGGATCAGAGGGAAATTTGTAGAGTAGAATTGCTTGATAAAACACAAGTAGGAAGCATTGACTCTCTGAATAATGAAATAAGAAAGGCTGTCAGGGTGACTGCATTTGTACTAGCATGTTACCCTTTGACCTAATTAGCTTCCTATTTTTGCCCTGCAGGGGACAGGGACCCACTGGTTATATGCAGCCAAATATTCAGTGATTTGCCTCACTTCCACTGTGATTGTGTTGGCTAATGAGAAATTTCCTTTCATTCTGTTGGGTGGTATGTCCTCTCCATAGGCGCTGCAGAGAAAGCAACTTGTACGCAATTTGCTCCTTTGGGGCTGTCTTACATTCTGAGTTTCAGAGCGTTTCAGCTTCTATGGTGAGAATTGGGCTCCTGAATGTTACTAATGTATTGTGTACGGATACATATATATAGACCTTACTTGTTTCAGGACAGAGCATCAAGAAGCTCTAAATGACTGGCAGAATGGCAGTCTGCTTTCCAGGGACTAGTGGGAATTGTGTTGTGCTCTGAGATTTAAACAGAGTGGGGTGGGGCAGGCAGTGAGGAAGGAGATTCATGCAAATGCTGACTACCATGCTAAATTCAATTTGCACCAGCTGTATCCTGGATTTGTAATGCTTTTATAATTTTATAAGCATACTTCAAATGTTAAGTATGAGAGACTATCCTCCTGCAGACCTGCGATTGGATAGCAGCTGTGTGACATGTCCAGAATGCAGTCTGAAAGGCTTTGTCGTCCTAAATGTCTTGCACAGAATTTTTTTAACTTAATCAGTTTCCTTGGAATGCCGTTGATCCGACTGCATTCAGCACTTAACTGGAAAATGGGCTACATAGTATGAAAAAGAAGAAAGGGAGGGATGGAGGAAGGGAGAAATAGTAAAAAGCGTGTGGAAAATAACCATTTTGTAGACTTGCTATTGGTGGCATTCTGCAAGAATGTTAACTAGGTACAGTGGATCCTGATTCATACTAGGATGGTACACTAGAACTAGCATGGGTGTTAGAATAAAACTTTAGCCATTATGCAGGAAAAAGCTTTCATGGCTCTGATCATCAAGTGGTCTCCTTTAAAAGAGTAGTATCTTCTTAGCATGTTAACATTCCACTATCTTGCATAGATATTACATAGAAATGTTTTGGTGAAGGGGAAGCCACTTGTATGCTTAATGGTGAAAAAATGGCTTCTCCAATACTTGCAGACTAAGTTCATTTAAAAAGAAATAACCCCAGAGTGGCCCTGTGGCATATGATATTATCTTCTACCCCCCTTTTTTTTTATCTGACTTGTGTGGGGAGAGGGGCATGTTCTGCCACAAATTTATTATCTCTTTCTTTTGGACAGGTTTTAAATTTTTAAACATATGCACGCTAGGACCAGAATAATTCATACAAAACATCTGCAGTCTCCCTGTACCTTGTGTTGCCTCAAACTGCTCCTTGCAGGATACTGGACCCAAGTATCTTAGGGGCTGGGGAAACTGAGGAGGACATCCATAAGGTTGAGCTATCTCCTAGAAACATTAAGGCGTTCTTCAATGTCAGCTGATAGGTGAAGATCTAGCTGTCCCCCTGAACCTTATCCAGGAAAGGAGGCAGAAGGATCCAGTTTCCCTGCCTGCCTCCCCCTCATAGAGCTACATAGGCCAGGAAAAACAAAGCAGGGCCTGCCAGAGGAAGAAGCAACCCTTGGAACAGGTTGGGGAAAAGCCTTTTACACTGATTCCTCTCATTTATCTCTTTTGCCTTCCTTCCTTTTTCTTTACTCCCTTGCTTTGATTTCTTCAGCTCTTCCTGCCCTTACAGTTTATCTCACCTAGTAAAAAATATAATAGGGGGTTGGCAGAAGAAATGGGGCTAACTAGGAATACATCTGTTATTACTCTGATCACTTCATTTCTGTGATATATTACTTTTCCCCACCTATTTGTGGTTGTCTTTGTTGGAGTGTGAACTCTTCTGTCCAGGGGCTGAGCCCTCCTTTGTGTGTGTGTGTGTGTGTGTGTGTGTGTGTGTGTGTGTGTGTGTGTGTGTGTGTGTGTGTGTGTGTGTGTGTGTGTGTGTGTGTGTGTGTGTGTGTGTGTGTGTGTGTGCATGTGTTCATGCATGCAGTATTCAGTAAAGGAGAACCCCATTTCAGCTGCTGCTTTTGGACAGCTGGGGATATTATTTGGTGATATTATTAATAATTTATTTATGTTCTGACTGAACCATGAGAAAGGAGCATGTATTGAATATACACGAAAACATCTTGAATTGGATATACTTATGTCACCTTCTGGCTGACTTGTTACAAAACCAATTATAGCAACATCTTTGCTTGTCAGTCACTGGGAAAGTGACTCATGTTGCCATTTGTATGTACAAATACTTAAAGTAAAAACATACCAAGCTGTTTAGCAGTTGAAACTAAGGTTGTTGTTTAATATGCTGCCACTTAGACTGTATGTGTCTGAGTTGGCGGGGGGGGGGAGGGGTTAGGGGTTTTATATAATCCCCAGAGGGAAGGCCCCAGAATTTCTGATTAATGATCCTGCTCACTTACTGGATTCAGATATTTTCATTTTAGTTTTCATTGGATGTGTCTACATGTGCTATTAATTCAAAGTAGGCTTACTGCACAGTAAAAATTCTGCATGGTAAGCCTGCTGGGGAGCATGTCTACACGTTTCCCCAATGGGAGCAGCCTGATACAGGCCGTTCTTGTCCTATTCTGCCTCTGCAGCAGCCAGGGGGAGCTCCAGGCTGCCCCTGGGGGCTAGCTCAGGGGCTGGCAGGGAGCACAGGTCCAGGAGAGCTCTGCTGGCTGCAGCAACAGCTGTCTCCTGGCCCTGTACACATTGGGAGAGGTCCTGATTTGCAAGGGCTGGGAGATGGCTGCTGCTGCAGAGCTCTCCCGTCTCTTACACATGAGGACAAGCCCTGTGTCTAGCGGGACTTTCCTGCTAGCTGTCCCCCCAAAACAGGACAGTTCCCAATCAGCTCTGGGTTGCATGTTCAGACTTCCCCATGAAGCCCAGGGTTGGCTGGAAACTGTCCTATTCTGGGGCAGGTCCCAGCCAGCTCTGGTCCAGATGGGGAACTCTCTTTGTACAGGGAGCTCCTGGCCCCAGCTCCACAATTAGAGGGACATGACTTCCTAAGTTGGCAGCTGCCTGCTGCCAGGGCGGGCTCTGAGAGTGAAGCCTGGCCAGGCAATGTCCCCCTGCCCTGGCAGCAGGCAGCTCCCAGCCCAGGCTCAGTGATTGCTGCCTGTTCGAGCTGCCTTGGCAGCAAGCAGCTCCCAGGGGATGGGATTGTTCTCCAGTCTCTTCCTGCTTGGGCTGGCCAGGAATAAATTTGCTCCTGGTTGGCCATCTATGTGGGCTACTGTGCAGTAACTATGGCATGGTTAATTTGCTACCTACATTTTCAGGTAGCAAATTAACTGTACAGTTGACTAATTGCACACTAAGTGTCTGCTTGTGTAGATGGTGATGCTTTACTATGCAATTAGTCAACTGCACGGTAAAGCATCTTGTGTAGATGTGCCCACTATGTTCCTACATAATCCCATTTCCTCATATTTCTCTCCTTTTTTGCACTACAAATCCAAGATCACTATAATTATATTTTTAAATATGATTTTCAGAATATTAGCCTGGGGATGGGGTGGAGTTGGAATACCACATTTTTTTTGTCTGCAGGAGGAAATAATTAGGCCATTGCAGGAATATGCTTTTTTACAGGGTGGCTTGAGGCTGCTTTTCTGGAAACTGTGAGGGGCAGAGCTTCTTGAAATGCCTGAGAATTGTGTGGAGCTGCTATTTACTTGCTGATATGCATTGCTTCTTTCTACCGATAAGTTTCCTTCTGGGTGAACTGTTCATTTGGCATTATAACATTGTGTGTTTATTTGCTTTGTCCCACAAATGATGAAACATTTGAGGGATAATTCCCCCCACCAAAAAAAAAAATCCCCCTCTATCTTCCCTCCCAAACCAATAAAATTGTCTATTTTAAAAACGTCAGCTGCCTCTGGCATAAAAAGTCAGTGATGATGTATTGTTGCTTGTAATGCATTATTCAAAGTCTTTTTTAGACTCTGGTATATAAAGAGTTTCATTAATATTTCAGTAGTCACTGTGATTCTCATCAAAGGGAGCTCCTTCCCTTTCATCACGACATCCCTATATTTCTGTAGGTAGCAAAGATTCTTGGACTCTAAGGTTGCCATCGATAGAAGAAAGCTCATCACTTTCCAGATGAATTGATTCTTAAAAGAAGCCCTGACCTTGAGATTGAGATTGTTCCATGCAGTTATCTGGTATGTCTGTATTCTTATTGCAGATGTACTAGGAAGGGCTTGCTTTTGTATTGAACTTGAAGGTACAGCACTGTTTCAGGACAAAAGATGATCTAAGTGAATCATAGAATCAATGAGTGGGAAGGGACCTAGACAGATCATCTAGTCCGACCCCCTGCCATGGGCAGGAAGGAGCACTGGGGATGGCATGGGTCATAAGACCCCGGCCAGATGCCTATCCAGTCTCCTCTTGAAGATTTCCAGGGAAGGTGAGAGCACCACCTCTCTGGGAAGCCTATTCCAGGCTCTGGCCACCCTTACCGTGAAGTAGTTCTTCCTAATATCCAACCTAAACCTATCCTCCCTCAGCTTGTGGCCATTGTTACTGGTGACTCCAAGGGGGGCCCTGGTGAACAGACTTTCCCCGAGTCCCTGCTGGTGGCCCCTGATAAGGTTGTAGGCAGCCACAAGATCCCCCCTCAGTCTCCTCTTGTGGAGACTGAAGAGATTCAGGTCCCTCAGCCTCTCCTAATACAGCTGGCCACGGAGGCCCTCAACCATACGAGTGGCCCTCCTCTGGACCCTCTCCAGGTTCTCCACGTCCTTCTTGAAGTGCGGCGCCCAGAACTGGACACAGGACTCCAGCTGCAGCCTGACCAGCGCTGCATAGTGGGGGAGCAAGACCTCTCTGGACCTGTTAGTGATGCCCCTGTTGGTGCATGACAGGGTGCGGTTGGCTCTGCCTATTGCTTCCATCTAAATTGGTTTTAGATGGAGCCTTCGCCACTTCATGGTGGAGCCTTGAAAGAAAGAAAGAAACACAACATTTTTCTTTACCAACTTGGTTTGAAATTTAGCTGTTTTCCATTCTAGTTTCAAATACATGTTGAAAGTTATTTTTCGTATCTCATCCAGCCCCCACCAGTGAAAGTCAGGTGGAATATTAAACTACAGACAGGACTGGCCAAAAGTAGTTTTTTGTTGTTGTCATTGTTTATTTTTTTGCTTCCTTTTGTTTTAAAGAAAAGGAAGGTAAAAACCCCCACAAAAACATTAGTTTGAATGCACT